GTAGTGTTTGTTTTGATTTTGTATGATGATAAGCATATGAAACAAAGTCATTGGAAGAGTGAAAAAGTGAGTTAGATGGTGAGAACTAAGTGTGGGGTGCCCACACAAAGGACCATACTTGGGAGAAGTCTGAGTATCTTGTGAGCTGCTAATTCTTCGGCCTTTGTCCTACGAGGGAGTCTTTTTTTTCCTTCTTGTTATTTATATTGTGCATTGAGGACATTGCACAATTTTAAGTGTGGGGTGAGGAGATTGTCTGGGTATTTTTCTGTGCTATCTTAGCTTAGTTGTAGTACTCGTTCTTAGTGTAGTAAAAAAAAAATCTTTCATACAATTTTGGACTTTTTTCGACGATGGATCTCATTCGAAAGGTTTCTTGAGGGATTTAAGTTGAAAAAAAAGAGATTTTCTTTTGTTAGGTAGTGTAATAATTCTCCCTTGGTTTTTTTTGTGTCGCGGTTCTTTTTCAAGGGTTTTATTTGAACCGGGTGTAGGTAGTTTTATATTTTTTTTGGAGTAGGAGCCACTGTGAGACGAATTGAATTGGAGTAATATCTCTTAACTTTGTTATGCCTTGAGAATAGTGAGTACTTTGGTTGTGACGCTTAAGCTCAGTTTTTGACTCTTGTATAAATAGCTTAAATCGTATGATCTTAACTTTGCTTAACTGCTTTGACTAGAATGTCTTGATGAGTCCAATCCTAAGTCAGTTATGTGCCATGCGTGTGTGAGGTTTGTGTGTAATTCTATGCATTGCATTTGATATCTAGAACTTGCCCCGTGTGTTTGCAAAGCGAAATAGTAGTTTTGTTCAATCTTGGAAGTGATATAGGCGTTTCTTTGTTGAACCAGTTATATAATTTACCCACCTTATTGTTATGTATCGTAGTTAACCCCTTTGAGCCTGTAATCTTGTTTCTTTGGCAACCACATTATAAGCCTTACGTATTTGTTTGAATTAACCATTTATTTGAATCTTTTCACCTCTCATGAGCACTTGAATTGTTATGAACTTTGTAAAAGTTAAAGTGTGGGTGGTTGGTTTGACTTTTGTGTGGAACTAATGAAATAAGGAGAAATGTGCACTATTTAAAAAAAAAAGCCACTTGAATTGAAAAATAAAGAAAAGAAAGGAAAAATTAGTTGTATTGCTGTGAAAAATATTCTTTGATAGTGGTGACTCTTGATATAATTGTGCTTAAAGAAGTATGGAGTTATTGTTTGACATAAGTGTGGGATTAAATGCTAAAGTATATGTATTAAAGTGCTTAGGGAGGTGTAGTCACTTTTATATCCAAATGTATCCTACCCGACCCGTAGCCTACATTACAACCAATTAAAGTCCTACTTGATCCTAGACTGAATGAGCTCAATTAGTAGAGTAGTACACTACGGGAAAGCCTATGGCGCATCTTTTGTGGCATATGAATGTTATTTCATAGAGTAAGTGAATTCTTTCTATCTTGAGTTCCTAATTGTTCTTAAATTTTTATTGTGTGTGGAACTACTCTCTTTTGTTGTGTGAGCGCACTTGATTCATGAAGGAAAGGTAATGTCCTTGACCTTTATGTTAGAGTAAGTGAGTGAGATGTGAATAATGCGTGGTACTTATGAGTCAAATTTTGAGGTGAAGATGTTACACTCTTGTGCTTAATCTATTTTAAAGATTCTTGGTGTGATGAGTTAGGAGAATTGTTTTAAAAGGCCGTTTCTATATAAAATGTAGTTTGATTGCTCGAGGACGAGCAAGAGTTTAAGTGTGGGGTAGTGATGTTTGGTTATAATTACATATTTTTAGTGCATTACTTACCTTATATTTTGGGTCTTTAATGCTAAACTATACTATATTTATGCTTAATTGAGTCTATTTTATGTGTAGGTAAATTGGAGATGAAAGTAGAAGAAAAAGGAGACCTACAAGTCGAAAGTGTGCGCAGGAGCAGTGAATGAGAGAACGTGGCGACGCTATGCTTGAAGCTGGCTTAAGGCTGGGTTTGCAAGGCTAAAGCCAGGCTGAAGCTGGCGTTTGGCTGGCTTTGCAAGAATAAAGCCAGGCAGAAGCTGGCGTTAGGCTGGCGACGCTAGGCCTGGGGCCAGGTCCAATCCGAGTTTTGAAGATTTAATTCATTTCCGGGTTTGATTAGGACTTGTCCTACACGTTTAGGTCTTTTTCTACACATATAAATAGACCTAAAAACATACTTGGGGAGAACATACTTGGAGAGGACATTTTTTTAGAGGAAAATACAAGCACAGAGCCGCTATGGAGGCCAGAATTCATTAAGTTCCATCTTTTTCCCACCAAACTTAGCAATTTTTATGTTTCTTTGTATGATTTGTTGTTTCGCTACCATGTCTATGTGGAGCTAAACTTCACGTTCTAGGGTTGTGGTTCTTTCATGACTATTATTATTCGGATATTGATTTTGCCTTCTTGATTTATCATATTGGTTTATTTATTCAATCTTGCGCTTAATTATTTAATTGCTTGATCACCAATTGAATACTATCTACGAATCTTGAATTGAACTCGAAAGTGGAAATTCTAGATTGCATATAGGATTGAGTAGAACAAGTTCTTGAACTCGGGCATTGGGGAACGGATTCATGGTTAGGATAGACATATACCTAATTGCCTTGCTTGGTTGATTTATAGGAATTATAAATGTGTTCTTGTTGATTCTAACTCCATAGACATATAGGCGTTAGGTTAGCTTAAATAGGCGAGTAAGAACTCGACAAATTCTTATGAGAAATATTAATCCTGTCAACGAATAAGCTAGATAAATTAGTCGGTCAATTCAATTGAAGAATATAATAGGATTGTTAGATAGCCCATAACCCTAGATCGTCTTCATTACATTGATATCATAAAAAAATCTGCTCTTTCTCTGTTCAAAGTTCATTATTTATATTTTTTTATTTAATTAGTTTAGAATAAAATATTTTTAGGTTTAATTCTTGTTTAGATAATTATGATAGTCTAATTTAGTTAATAGTTAATCACAAGTCCTCGTGGGTTCGACATCCGACTTTTAGTCACTTTATTACTTGACGACCGCGTATACTTGCGTGTGCGTTTGCCGCAACATTAGTCACCACCATAAACTATTACTGTCATCCACCATCTATTACCCATAATCACCACTATCAACCAACTCCACAATCAGCCACTACCAAGTCGGCATCCACAACCACCATTGTTAGCCACAATCACCATCAACCACAATATAATATTTGAAAATATTTATTTAATATAATATTAGATTAATTAGAACTATTTGATTTGAATTAATACTTATTAATTCTTAAATAAAGAAAAGTTCTATACATAGTGATGTATAGAAAACAAACAGTCTTAGTTATTCAGTATTCAGATCGTAATATAACATTTTAAATTAGTATTCAGATTCACACCTTGTAAACTTAATACAAAATATTAATATTCAGATGTGCATCTAGATTCAGACGTCTTAATATTAATAAAAACAAATATGGCCTTGTAAAGCCGATCAAAGTTGGTCGGTTAAAATTCGCAATATTGTATTAATTTTAAATGAAAAATCGATCAAAGTTGGTCGGTTAAAATTTTACAGGAATCAAAAATAGTTTTCCGCATTTTTGCGCAAAACAAAACCGACCAAAGTTGGTCGGTTTCGCAAAAACAAAATTAAAAAATAAAATATTTTGAAAAACGACCGACTTCGATCGGTTTTTCGGCCGATTTTTTGACTGACTGAAATTGATCGATCGACCGCGATCGATTTAAAAAAAAATTATCCTTTGGAACAGTGAGAATCAGTACATTGTCATTCGGAAAATTTATAGTGGAATACTGTATCCGAACGTGTCTAATCACAAATTCGATTTACAAACCGTAGGCTGCACATAAAGTTTGAAGTTCTCACTTGGATTCTTTTTATACCCGTGACAAAATTTGCTACTAATTACTCTCTCCGTTCACTTTTACTTGTCCACTATGTATTTTACACTCTCCTTTTAAAAATAATAAACAAAATGCATAATTTACCATGATACCCATATTAATTGATGTATATTTTCAATTAATTTAAAAAAATAATTTGAAATGAGTAATTAATACTATGAGTATAACATGAAAAAAAAATTATTCTCTTGATATACTAAAAGTGACAAGTACTCCCTCCGTTCACTTTTACTTGTCACTATTGATTTTGCACACCCCTTAAGAAATAATAAATAAAGTGTTTCATTTACCATGATACCCATATTAATTGGTGTATATTCTTAATGGATTTGAAAAATGATTTGGAACGAGTAATTAATGCTAAGGGCAAAACAGAAAAAATAATTTATTTTTCTCTTGATATGTGAAAAGTGACAAATAAAAATGAGAATTTATTTTTAGAATACTTGACAAATAAAAGTGAACGGAAAGAGTAAAAGAAAAAATTTATTTTTAGAATACTGGACAAGTAAAAGTGAACGAAGGGAGTATAGTTATAGAAGATATATACAAATTGTTATCTTTAATTATGCGCGTGTATTCTTTTTGCCTTTAGATGTAGTTGTCCTTTAGATATATACAGGCACTAATCTGATTAGCAGTAATAAATTCCTGACTTTCCTATAAATATGAGAAAATATAATTTTATTATCCACGGTTTTAGAAGTTGACCGTAGTGCTTATCGTTGTATGAAGACACTATCTAAAGATAAAGAATGTAAGGCATCATCCGTAATTCTAATTTACTCTACTTTTCCTTTGGATTTGAACGACACTGTTGCCCCTAACTTGGCTGTCTATCTTTTTAAAGTTACTGCAATTTTTATGCAAATAATAATTTATTGCTAACTTACAGGAAGTGATTATAAATAATTTGGTATAACATGTTAAATTAATATAACTAAATCCCTTTTACAACCTCTAGGTTATCCACAAGTAGGTTAAATTAATAAACTACATAAATAGAGCTCTTCTTTCTCTTCCTCCAAAACAGGGTAAAAAAAGAAAAAAAGAAATGCCGGCTCTCACTAAATTCTTCTCTCATTTTCACGAACTGATCAACATTTTATTCTATTCATGGCTTCCTAAAGTACTAAGGTTTCTAGTGCTGGTTTCTCTTGTTTCAGCCAGTTTATACGTACAGAGACAAGAAAAACACAAGTGCAGGAAAATAATAAACAAGAAGAGCTCTAAATTTGTGTACAAAAAGAGGAAGTTACTGGGCTTAGCTGCTACAGAACCACATGATTGTGCGATTTGCTTATGCGAATTCGAGCACGGAGATAAAGGGAGGAAGATTGAAAGTTGCAGTCATATGTTCCATGAAAATTGCTTAGATAAATGGTTAATATACGGCAAGGGTCAAGCCACGTGCCCGCTTTGCCGGAGCGCGATTATACCGGAAAATATGATGGAAGATCACCGGAAAGTTGAAGATGAAGGACTGACGTTTACTATCTTTGAGGAAGAACTTGCTCTTCTGTTGCTCTCTGGCTTGAGTAATGGATGTTGCACTCAATGGCGTTTCTAGTTACACTAGTGAGGGTATGCCCTGGTCCAACGGCTATTTACAATTTTTGTTATTTTTTTCGGATATCATTCATTTTTTGTATCTAAAATAACTTGCAAGGACAGGAGTAAACCTGTAATTTAATATGCGTAGGTAGATTACATGGTTATTCATTCTGGATGCATTCTTTTATCTACAAAGAGAATAATTAAAAAATTGGATTTAGATCATGTGTGATTTCCATATATATGTTCTTCTCCTAACTCCTAAGCCCCAAGCTATTCATATTTCAGAGTATTAAATATCATGCCGATAATCAAGGAAATGCAAAGCACAATTAAACAAATAAAAGTAGATGTATTTCTTCACCCTCCCTCTATCCATCATGGATGCAGACAAGAGAAAGTCATCCGAAATTGTGTGCTTGCATCTGTATGGCCCAAGACTTCATATCTGGAAAAGCCTATCCAAAATGGGAAGAAAAGAACCAATCCAGTTAGTAACTACCAGTATAATTTAACAAGATTGTGTTGTCGCATTAAGGATTGTTGTGAGCTAAGAGAAGCTTGGATTTGGAGTTGAAGTTGTTGTATAAGATTGAAGTTTTCGGGAAGATATACGTTGAGTCGTTAAGTAAACGACAAAGGCGTATGTTAAGGCTCACTCTTTCTTTCTTTTGGCATAATGTACAAAGAACGTAACTATAATGGCGTTACTTCAAAATGAACTCTTTTCTCAAGATTAAGGCTTGTGAACCTCATTGTTTCATATTGTTATAGTTCATGACTCTTATTGTTTTTTGTCGAGATCACTTACCGCCTTGATAGCATCTTGAATCTTATGTCTTCTTATGATCCTTGTTGACTCTCGGATAATTGATACATACACAGTTACATAATGAAAATCGGAGGATAACGACCTTGAGTCACTCCGATCGAGTCCATAAGGCCCTTGAGAGTCATTGCTTAATGTGGTTCATATTTACTAAGTAAAGTTAGTAATAAACCAAGTCTTTTCTATTACGAAACTTAAATCTGATTGAACTAAGTGATATGATATATTCAAACAATTTAATTCCATGAAGGTAAATATCCAATTATACATAAATAAAAATCGAATAATAACTACCCAAAATATTCAAAAAGTTAACAACCTAAGTGCTCTTAAGGATATTATGCGCGCAAAATAATAATTTAGTAGCTTTTTTTCAACTGATAATACACAAAATTATTCTAAAATGTGAGTAGAAAATAAACAAATCAGTTCAACTTAGGAATTCCTATTTCAAGCTGGAGATGTTGATGCATGTTTGAGGAAACAAACAACTGAGTGAACTCTTTCCTCTTGAAAGAAGAAAGGCAATGGAAATTTAAGAGTATACAACGGGGTCTAGTTGATTGTGACCGTCAGAAAAACAACGGAAAACGGTCAAAATTATTCCCGAACTATCGAAAATAGCTCAAATATACCCTTAGTTTATTTTTGGTACTAAATTTATCCTCGCCGTCTAAAAATTGGACCATTATTGCCCTAAAAACTAACGGCTGCCACATAAACTTTTGGACATATTTAAATATTACGGAAAAAGGATCAAAATTGCCCCCGAACTATATATCAAAAATAGCTCAATTATATCCTCAGTTTGTGTTTGGTACCAAATATGTCCTTGCCCTAAAATCTAATGGCTGTCACATCAGCTTCTGGACCTATTAAAATACTATAATCATGTTAACATGCCAGTACAACATGAGACACAAAAAAAACCTTCTCCACCCGCAAGAACCCATTTTCTGCGAGAGGTTGCTGCATTTCCCGTGAAGGCACAGTGAAGCACTTCAGGTGGCCTGCTAGCTAGGCCAGTGAGGATGGGAAGGATTAAGTGGTGTCTAAAAATTTTTACGAGGTTTTGGGTCTAGGTCTTATTTGCGGTCGGTCTTTTTTTCTTTTATGTTGATGAAGGCCGGAAGTGGAAGGGTATAGTATTTTAGAGAATGGTCTCATTCTAATGGTTTTCGAGTTTTTTATGAGAGTTGTTTTTAAAAGGATATATCTCTGCAACTAATTTGTAACCTTTTTGAGCTATGAGCTTGGATAGCTAGCCATGGGAATACTGCAATATGCAGTTTTTGTTGTTCTCACCATTTTTGTGATAAGATTTCTGATTTTAAGTGATAAAAGTTGGTATTTTATTTCTTGTATAGTATATTAAAATTTTTTTACAGATTTGTGAATCTTAAGAATAGCCCAACTAAATTTCTCATAATAAGATTGGTGTAGCTTTAATTATTTGGAAGGAGCAATACTTAGATGAGTCAACGAATGAAAATAGAGAAAGAAATTTTATCCGTGGGCTTTTATCAAGATAGAGGATCGTCTGTTGGAGATAGACTTTTGTTGTTCATATGAGCTCATGTGACGACCGTTAGTTTTTAGGGCAATAATGGTCCAATATTTAGACGTCAAGGACATATTTGGTACCAAACACAAACGAAGGATATAATTGAGCTATTTTAGATAGTTCGAGGGCAAATTTGACCCTTTTCCATAATATTTAAATGTGTCCAAAAACTGATGTGGCAGCCGTTGGTTTTTAAGGCAATAATAGTCTAATTTTTAGACGGTGAGGACAAATTTGGTACCAAAAACAAACGGAGGGTATATTTGAGCTATTTTCGATAGTCCAGGACAATTTTGACCTTTTTTCGAAAAAAACAAAGTAATCCGATGACATAAGCACAGTGGCAAATAGGTCAACACAATCAAAATTTTACACTGGTGCTACATTAAAGTTCCTTTTCAACCAATAAGACTTGCTCCATTCTAATATATTTATAAAAAGTCCTCCCGGGCCCAATTTAAAAAAGCTAAGATACACGTGACAACAATTTAGCAAATACAGAACGCCAGCTTTTACGCGTACAACTTATGCAGACACGTTGACCCTAAGCTACTCTCGTTAGTGGCTTCTATTCCTTTTCAAAACAAAACTCCTACATCGATACTCATTGCCTCACGTATTTTTTCAATCTAAACTCCACATCTTTTCAAGTCTGCAATTCTCATTGACTATTTGAGGTAAGAAAATTCTCTATTCCTTTGCATATTTGTATCTATGTGATTTTGTATTAATCTTTGAACTATATGCAATAAACGAAGACATCAAATTTTTGGTGTATTGGTTTCAAAGTATTGTGGTTGATGAAGACAATGTTTTTCTTCAAATATATTATCCTATTTAGATTTTTTTTTTTACTGAGAAACTTTTGTCAATTTATTAATTATTATAACTTATGATTATATGCTTATCATAAAATAAATTATATTTATTATAAAAATTATCTTATTTAATTACAGTTGTATTTAAAATAAAATAATAAATAGAATATTTTGTATTTGAATCGATCTGGAATCTAAAATTTTGAAGAAATTACGCCCTTATAAGTGTAAACAGTTCTAAGGTTATTCAAGTCATTTTAACAGAAAAAGAGCTTATCAGCACTTTTTTATTAAATACTGCAGCAGTTTATTATCTATTTCAGCACTTGTACCCAAATACGTAACTGCTTATTTATTAAATTAATTTCAACACTTAAAAAATACTTTTCAGCACCTAATTCTTATCAGCTACTTCAAATCAGTTAATCCAAACATGCTTTAATTCTTTTATTGAATATTTTTCATTAAATCGGTAAATTAGCTTGAAAGGAAAGAAAAATATTCTTTTTGTACAGGAAATAATTGGGTAAATTTCACAAATGGTCATATAACTATGACTTTTTTTCACCAAAGTCATATAACTTTGTTTTCTCATACAAAAATTATATAACTATGACTTTTTTTTCACCAAAGTCATATAACTTTATTTTCTCATACCAAAATTATAAAACTTTCACTAACTCACACAAAAATCATAGTGGCCGAAAATAAATTTTTCGGTAGTATTTTTTTATTTTTTATTTTTTTATTTTTTTTATTTTCAGTATAATAAATAATTACCCAATAAAAATAAAAGTAATATTAGTATATTTTTAGCCGCTCCTAAAATAATAACCGATAAAATATATTTTATATATATATGTGTATTATATACATATGACATACACATTCTATATATATTTTGGTTAGCAAATGCAATTAGTTTCGGTCGGCTGATTAATTTTATATTTTTCTCTTAAAATAGGAATGACCCGACCCAGCCTGGACCAATACCCATATAAGTAAGTTAAAATAATACTAAAAGTGAAGTCTTTTCCCATAAAAAATTTTTGTTCGGAATGCATGAGATTCTGACCAAAAAATAAAAAAATAAAAGGTATAATTAGAGAGAATTTGAAATAAAAATGCTATCAATTTGAATAAAAATGCTACCAATTTGAATAAAAATCTTGAAAACAAAAATAAAAAATAGAAGTATCATATTTTGAAGGATTTACTATTCGCTTTAGTATTATTTTAATTTATATATATGAGTATTGGGTCAGGTGGGCTAGATCGGGTTGAGTCATTCCTTTTTTTTTTGGTAAATAGTTTTTTTATTAATTACCAAGTAATCTTTGTACAGCTCAAGCACTATTGTACCCCCTAAACAACAACAACATCATAAAGCATTTACTAGTCTCTAACTAAGGATAAAAATTTAAGCTTTCAAGTTTTTTAGCCGGTCGAGCCCACACAGAACCTCTGCAGAATATCTCTTGAACAATTTGTCTGGTAACTTGCACCTCTTGCCTTGCCATTATAATAATATGTTCCATATTCCACTTGAGTACACATATCTGAAAAATAAATGGTCAATAGTTTCAGTAGCAACATTACACAGAGGACACACCACTGTATCAGTCACACCCCAGCTAGCCAGCCTGTCCCTTGTGCTTAGCCTCCTATGAGCTGCCATAAATATTACAAATCAACTTTCTCCATGGAACTTTTTGATGGACTCCCCTTATCTTCTGGTATATCACTTTGATAGAGAAAGACCTCATCCTTTCTAACTCACTTTGATTTACTCCAGCACGTTCTAA